ATTATAAAAATTAAAATAATAAAAATATTATATAATTTTAAATTATTATATTTTTAATTTAATTAAAGTTAAATAATTAAAAAGTTTAAAATTTATTTTTATATTTTTTTTAAAAATTATAAAATAATAATAAATATTTAAGGTTTTATTAAAAAAAGTTTTTTAATAAAAAATTAATAAATTTTTAATATTTACTTTAATATATATTTTTTTAAAAATTAATATATTAATAAAATAAATTTTAAATTTATTAATATATATTTTTAAAATATTATATAAAAAAAAACCTTTTTATATATAAGTTTTTTTAATTTTTAAATTATTTTTTTTTATTTTTAATATAAATATAAAAATTTTATTTTTAATATTTTAATTTTTTAATTAAAAAATAAAATTTAAATAAACTTTTTAAAAATAAATAAAATTATTATTATTAAATTTTATTTTTTTTATTAATTTTTATTTAATTTTAATAATTATTATTTTTTTTATTTATAATTTAAAAAAACTTAAATAAAAATATAATTATTAAGTTTTTATATAATTATTTTTAATTTTTATTTTTTTTTATTTTTATTAATAAAAATTAATTTTTTATTATTAAAAATAAATATTTTTTTATTATTTTATTTTTTTTAAAAGTTTTTATTATAAATAATTTTATATAATATACTTTTAATTTATATAATTTTTTTAATTTTTTTTAATTTTTAAAATAAAATAATTTTAATTATTATTATATTAATAAATTTTTTAATTTTATTTAATTTAACTTTTATATTATAAAATATATTAATTAATATTTTTTTAAATAATTAAATAATAAATTTTTTATTATTTAAAATATTAAAGTTTTTAAAACTTTTTTAAATTATATTTTTAGAAAATTTTTTTTTTAAAAATAATTATTAATATAATATAAATTTATTTAATTATTATTAAATAATAATTTATAATAAAAATTATTAAATATTTATTTATAATTATAATAATTAAAATAAAAAAAACTTTATTTAATTTTATATATTATATGAATTTTTATTCAATAATTTTATAATTTTATTTTATAAAAAAAAATTTATATTTTTAATTAATTATAATAATTTTTTTAAAATTATTACAAAAAACAATTAAATTTTTTTTAATAATTTTTATATAAAATAAAAAACATTTATTTTATTTTTATTTAATTAAAATATTAATATATTATTTATTATAAATTTATTATTAAAATATTTTTTTTTTTTAAAAAATAAAAATAAAAATAATTATTTTATTTTTTTTTATTATTTATTAAAAGTTATTTATTTAATAATAATAAAAAGTTTTTTAATTAAGTTTTTTAAAGGTTAATAAAAATTATTATTATTTTAAAATCTTTAGTAAAAGTAATAAAAGTAAATATAAAAAATATTTTATTTAATAATTAATTAAATAAAGTAAAGTTTTTAGTAAAAGGGTATTTAAAAGGTAGGGTATCTGTAGGTATAGGAGGGAAGCTTATTTAAAGCTTAGGTATCAGCTGGCTCTATGATATTTTAACATTTCGTTAACAGTAAAACAAGAAATGCGGACTGACACGACGTACCCCATCAACTTGACAAGTCACGTTTTGGGAGTCAAATGTCTTTGACAGACTGCACTTTTCCAGGTTCATAGTTCAACCAGCCCTATCGCAAAGTACTGCGGGAGGCATTGAGATCGAGGTAGTTAAGCGGCTCTATTACAAGAGTGGAGTGTGCCTTCGTGAAAACAGTAATCTTAATTATTGATAAGTTGCCACGTGGATCTGTGTGACCGCTCCTTGGTCAAGACCACATCTCTGTTTGCTCTTGTTTGCTCTTGTTTGCAGCTAGCTTTCCCTCCCTTCATAGCCTAGCACACTACAGAGAGTTTCCCTTCTCAGCATCGCCAGCTTTCTCAATTATTATTAAATTTGTTATAAATATATACATGTATAGTTAACTAAAGACTAGGAACAAAACGATTATTCAAGTTTATAATTAATCCTTATTTCCTAATAGACGTAAAGAGCAAAACGCGGTATACTAATCAAAAATAAATGATTCTTACGAGAGCCAAGCCAAGGAGAACTGACTATTCCTTTAGCGCTGACTCTTTGTACTAAGGTCTGCAAGGCTTAATAGCCTGATTGCCCCTCTGACCAATGTACTTCTCCGTTGGCCTTATAGCAAGAATAATATAAGCCTCCAATCTAGGTCCCCGCAAAAGGTGCTAGTGGAGGAATGAGGCAGATAACCAGGCACATGTGGCTGTGGACGGGGTCTTAACATTAGATCACATGAGGCTGTTTATCTCCCCGCAGGTCAGATATTCTGATTCCTCTCAACTTCATCGTCAAACAGACTTCGGACAGTTGGCCTTGGTAAGAAAGATGGAAATGTTCAAGACCATTTCTTCTTCACTGGCCGCGGGCTATCCCATTGCATTTGCTCTGTGGTCGTTGGCGGCTGCATTTGCCTTGCAAGTTCTCCAACGAGGATACCGGCACCGCCGGTTCTACCGGAATCTGGTATGCACAGAATCAGAAGAACTTATTGTTCTTATATGCACACCTAATCTTTACCATGAATTCGCGCAACGACTGATAATCTACCTAGCCTGGACCACCACACAGCGCTCTATGGGGTCATCTCAAGGTCTTGGGCGAGGTCGCTGCGACGATCCCCCAGAACTCGCACCCTCAGGCATACTACACGGAAATTGCCCGAAAGTATAACCTTGAAGGCATATTTTACCTCGATTTATGGCCAATTGCGGATTCGAGTGTTGTCTTGACAGACCCAACGCTTATGGAAGAGGTCACAGTTCGAAACCCTCTGAAGCAGCACACAATGTCTGAAGCCTTTTTATCACCCATCATCGGCCCTAATGTCATCGCAACTGTCAATGGCCCTGTCTGGAAGAGGCTGCACAATGCCATGGCTCCAGCATTCTCATGGTCTCATATACGCACTCTAACTGCCGTCATGGTTGATGAGTGCTCCTTGTACCGTGCCGCCCTTACGAAATATGCCAGATCTGGTGAAGTCTTCTCCGTCGAGGAGTTATCTGCAAGGCTCATCTTTGACGTCATTGGCCGTGTCGTCTTCAACTTTCGTCTTCATGCTCAGACAGCTGACAGCCCATACTTGAATGATCTTAGGGAGTTAGTTGATCTCGCCCACGGCCAAACAGACCTAGCTGCAAGCTACAACCCTATCACACGAGTAGCAAAGTGGTGGAAGAAGCGCAAGGTCTTGGGTAGACTTCATCCTCTGATCCTCGGCAAAATTCAGGACAGACTAGACTTATTGTTGAATGAGGGTATCATGCCGTCTAGAAAGGACCCGAGCAGCATTCTAGATCTGATGCTCCGAGAACATATATTGCAATCTGAAGCGAGTGGCATAGTAAACACAAAATCGCAAATAAGTCTATCACGTACGGATACTCAGCTGCTTCTCACCAAGTTAGTCCTCTTTATTTATTCATTCATTGGCCAATATACACCAGCTGACAGGCTATTTGTACAGCATTAAGGGATTGCTTCTTGGTGGCCATGGCACCACTACTGACAGCTTATGCGTGCGTATAAGCTCTTCACGAAAAAAAAAAGGGGGGGGGGATCCTGTTGCTTTACTGATTTAACCTAGTACATTCTCATGTTATTGTCGCGGGCTCCAACGGCGCTTTATAAAATGCGACAGGAGCACAATGATGTTTTCGGCAAAGACTTTGATGGCACAGTAGAATCGTTACTAGATGCACCAGCAAAACTTCAAGACCTTCCATACACAGACGCCATCATCAAGGAATCCCTACGCTTGTTCCCAGTGGGCTTTACAGTCAGGGAGGCAGATACCGGTGCCAAGCTTACGGTCCAAGGTAAGAGCTACCCAATCGATCGGCATCAGGGCGTTGTCTTGAATGGCCACGACCTCCACTACAACTCAGACTTCTTCCCGAACCATATGGAGTTCCGCCCCGAGCGCTGGCTAGATTCAGAAGGTGGAGTTCCACGGTCTCATTTCAGGACTTTCGGTCGTGGACCCCGCGCATGTCTGGGACAGAACCTCGCCATGAATGAGCTCAAGGTCATTTTGCTTATGATCGTTCGTGACTTTGAGTTTGAGTGTGCTGGTCTCGAGCCGAATGCCAAACCTAAGACATTGTATACAAACCTAGATACAGTATTCGGGGATATTATATTTCAGGAATTGGGAATCGAGGCAAGGCCAAGAGGGGGAATGATGATGACGGTCAAGAGGAATTATTAACCCAATAAGAGTGTTTTAAAGGATTCATTTGCTTAGAGTTGCTAAGAATCTTATACCAAGCTACTACATTAGTCATATAAGAATATATATTTTCGGAAAAGCTACGGAACCCTTGCTACCGTAGATAAACTTGAACCTGCGTAACACCAGCTCTCTTGTTTTTAAAACTTAATATCATACATGTTTAAAATATCTGAATGTATTATCCAGTTAATAACACGGTAGTCCTAGCCTTAAATTATTCAATTTATTTCCTCGTAAGTATCACTCAGCTGTTTCTTCCTCCCAGTCTTCAATCCATTTACCGCCAACATGAAGGCGAACCAAAATTTTGCGGCAGCGTTGTAGGGCCTGTAGTGGTAGTTTCTTGCAAGTAGAGGGAGAGGAGATCACATTGCACAGCTCAGAGTCATTATCCCGCGGATCTGGTGGGACACATGGGGTCTATTAAGTAAGTTGCATCAGCATCGTTCTTTCAAGGGTTCTTCTACTGTGTACCATGATACTGACTAGTAATAGACCCTGCTCCTCAGAAGATAGGAAGGCAGTGGCTATTATGCTCGAGAAGTTCCAGCGAATATATCCCACTCTCATTGGACTGATACCTGTGGAGGAGAGCGTGAGGAAACAGGAAGAGGTTATTTGGGCCTTGGACTCAAAAATGAGCGATAGATATAGGAGTCATAAAGAGGATGAGTCGAAATGGTTCTAAATATCTCAATAGGACAAAACGCACAGTAAAAACAGATTCGGTGATATATTTTTTAAAACTCTCTCAAACTCTCTCTTAAAAGCTTTTTCCCCGAAAAATTTGAAGCGGTTATAAAAACGCAATTGAATGATAGTACAATTAAATTTATTGGAGTCTTTACACTCTCACGGAGCTGTGTATAGACTATACACCAACATAACCATGACTTCAATTCAATTTTAATTCCCATATTTCAGCAGTACCGGGCCCCTTCCAGCTCTCATGCTTATCCCTGGTGCTCGCCAGCTGGAAGCCTTCAGCCTCGTATAACCGGCGTGCGCCAATAAGTACACTTTGTGTCCAAAGCTCAATTCGGTCATATCCAGATTTCTTAGCAAATTCCACACTTTGTTTCACAAGCTTGGTACCCAATCCCATTCCTCGGGCCCGTTCTTCGACAAGAAGCAAACGAAGTTTAGCGGTCCTAGTCGAAGTTTGGCTTCTATCTTTGACCAACATAATTGACCCAAGAAATTCATTGGTATCTTTCACTTCTGCGATCCAACAACGATCCTTGATTTCGTCGTAATAATCGATAAAATCTGCTGTGACACGAGCAACCAAGGCCTCGAAATGCTCATCACAACCATAATCTGCAGCATAGAGAATGCCATGACGGTGAATAACCATGCCCATGTCACCAGGGCAGTGGGTTCGGATTCGTACTGAATCAAATTTAAGCTTGTTCGGATCCATTGAGAGTAATTTCTTCTTTGTGAGTTTTAATTATAAGTTTTTGGAAGAAGGGAGTATGGTGGATAAATAACATTGCGCATTGTAAAGTGAATTAAGAGTTTTAGAAATTTTATAGAGCTGCAACATCTTGTAATTACACTCTTATTTCAAATTACTTGCCTTTACTAAAATAGGCAAATGGCGGGTTTACTGGAATCCGCGTTAGTTTAACTTTTAGTAATCAGCTACGTAAACTTCACTTTGTAGCAAGAAGATTGCCGCTCGTTAATATGAGGATGCAACTATTACTACCAAGCTGGTAGAAAGAATCGTAACTTTATTAGCAACGCGATTATCGCTAACGCTAGAGAATTACAAGCTAGATTGACTCTTCCCCCTTGTGCTGTTTTGTGAGCAACAGTTTGATGCGCTTATTGATGTTAAGCTACAAGGTGGTGGCAAGCTAGTTAATTGTTTTCTTCTTTGACTCAAACAATATGCCCCCGTAATCCGTATGTCCTAAAACCTAGAATGTGAGAGAGGATGCCAAGGAAGATAAATCGATTTGGGTTCATAATGGTAGGCAAATGGTAAGATATTGAATGGACACTGTATACATACTTGTACAGAATACTCTTCGCTAAGTACTCGAGAGGGTTGCTTACTCGTTAGAGAGAGCCTCTCTAAGATTGGTATATCTCTTGAGAAATAAGACCTTATATTTGCCTATAGAAATGCAATTTATCATCGTAATTGTAAATAAAACGACATCTGTTTAGGGACACATCAGCTCTATAAGAAGAGCGTGGGTGACCTACCGCCAAATAAGTCATTGTTTGTAGGACTTAGTACTATGTAAAATGCGTTCTTTCTTAATGTGGCATTTTTACGTAACTCCTAAAATATAGTTAGCGTAGCATACTAAATTACTTGAATTGTAATGAAGATAATATTGGATCCGACAGCGGAATCACAATTTAATCACTCGTATTATTATATCACTCTTCGCATATCCGTAAAGCCCGACAATAGCCTAGTGAATAAATGAACTCGGAAATTGTCGGTTTGGTCAACGAATCAAAACAGTACATCCGTTTGCCCGAAATGCACTTCTATACATAGCTCGATTATGAATGCGATAAGAAATACTATAAAACTCCAAGTAGTGCTGTATCTAAATAATAAAGTCATAGCTTTGGAATACTTTGTTCGATATTATTCTGCGGAGTCGCAATTTACTGATGCCATTTACGCGTATGTATTGAATGAACGTAAATTCAAATTTTGTAGAGCTAACAATTGTTTCTTCATAGGCCTTGTCCGATTTGTCCCACGCGGACGGCAGGACGCTATTCTGATCGGCGAACCTCTAGATCCTAATATTGATGTTGGTAAGGAGGTTAGAAGGGGAAATGACGTCAAAGTAAACGTTTTCAATGGCATTTCAGTTTTGGACTTCGGTTCTGCCACTGGAAGCATCGAATCTATCGACCGCGTTCTATCTCCGCTTGCGATGACCGAAGTTGGCACTATTCGATGTATTGGACTGAATGTGAACATATTTTAGTTATTCCCAAAATTGACTGTTCCTAACCATTTATATATAGTATGCGAAACACGCAAAAGAAGCGAATCTTGCATTACCATCAGTACCAGTTGTATTTCTGTAAGTAAGATGCTTTCACTCAAATCAACCCTTGTACTTATCTCAATTCTCCAAGAAAACCAGCGACGTCTCTTGGAGATCCATGGCCAGCTTCAACGATTATACCCTCATTTTCGCTGGTTGACGACACAGCGGATTATGAGTCGGAACTCTGCGTTATAATTGGCAAGACTGCCAAAAATGTGACTGAAGAGGATGCACTCTCTTATATTCTAGGCTACACTGCATCAAATGACATCTCGGCAAGAAAAAGTCAGTTCGATCAATCGCAGTGGTGTTTCAGCAAGGGCTTCGATACAGCATGCCCCATCGGCCCCACGCTTGTTTCCACAGCTGTTATCCCCGATCCAAGCAAACTTCGTATTCGTGGGCTGAAGAATGGTAAAGTGGTGCAGGACTCATCACTTAGGCAAGTTTTATTACACATATTTACTTTAAATGCAAGCCGATCATTTATTCATCCATAATACTAATCGCCCCAGCATGTAGTGATTTAATTGTCAGTATACCAAAACTCGTCAGTTGGTTATCTCAGGGAACCACACTCCCAACTGGTACGGTTATTCTCACTGGAACGCCGGCAGGTATTGGCATGGCGATGGAGCCAACCGAATACTTGCATCACGGCGATGAATTCGTTGTTGAGATTCTCCCTCATATTGGAAGTCTATACTCGACGATTAAAAACGAGGATCAAATTCCACCCAAACTAGCGGATGAATAGTTTCGTGGGGGGACTTTTGTCTAGCTATGGGGCTTTTCAGAGGTGAATAAATATCTCCGCGCTAGATAGGGAAGTATACAGTATTACGAATTGACGAGTGTAACGGAGTTTGGTTGCAGCATAAAATTTGGAGAAGGTAATCCCTGTTTACTTATATGTGCGGAAGTAGTATGTATAGGTACGTTTAGTAAATGCTTAGATGTCGCTGTTAATACAGATAACTACTACTACTCTAAAGCACTATATTGATTGTAGCTATTTATATTTTTCTTTAGCAATAAATAGATTTTTGCACCAATATATAAATAGCAGTATCTGAAACGGTAAATTGGCAGAATATAGAAACTGGCTTGTCCGTACAGTGCTAAATGTCTTTTGCACTTATTATTTGGTATGATCTGCCTATTGCCAGTCTTGCAATAATTTCGACATAATGTATCTAATAGTGTCTGCCATTAGTAGTGGGGATACGCGGCAAAATACGGAATTGGAAACTTCCATTTTGGAAGTAAACTGTCTCAAAATTTCTGATAACGGGCCGACATCGGGTTTTCTAGTCCATCTACTTCGTTTGGACTGTGATCCAACTCGCGTAATAAACTAACCGGAGCACGAAAGAGGAAGATAGCAGATTGGTAATCATCGATAATAGGCATAGTTTAGGGGTATGCGCTAACGTCTTATGAACATGACATAATAAATATTACCTCATAGAATACATCTCGGACGGAAGGATCCTCGTCTAGAGACGGAGATGCGTCAAGTATCCAAAGGGCGCGCCCCGCGGAATGTTTACCAGAGGAAATAACAATCACCGCCGACATAGAGATTCCCGTCAATTTTGATAGATGTTTTCCTCGGACCCACTTTGTATGCTTACATGTACTGCTGGTTCAGTTGTATATGTGTGATTGGATAATGATATTACGCTATGTTTAGTGATGCAGCCAGTTGCGTGATCCTGTATACATGTGATGCAGTTTCTGGATATCGTCGGCTTTGTATAATAGAGTCCAGGAGTTTTGGATATTTAAAATAGATAGGAGCAATCTTTTCCAAAAGTATACCGATTCTACTCATCGTACATCAGAGTAATGCAATCCGACAATGGCATCGCAAAAGAATAATGACAAATATGGATATCCAAAGCTCCTCAACAACGGTGATTACACAGGGGCCATTATAAACACTCCTATTAAGCCTTTGGATGCTCTCCAAACCAACTGTACGGAACACATGGTTGTCTGGCAATGGGATGAATGCACTGGTTGGCAAGCTCCAGAAATTCGACCTTATGGACCGCTACCTATAATGCCTAGCGCCAGTGTTCTTCAGTACGCAACAGAATGTTTTGAGGGTATCAAAATCTATCGAGGGTATGACGATCGGTTACGGGTGTTCCGGCTGCACCTCAACTGCGAACGGATGCTGAAATCATCTCTTCGCGTGGGGTTGCCCGCATTTGATCCGGTTCATTTTGAGTCCATTCTTATGCAATTCGGAGCGTTGGAGGCTGAAAAATGGCTTCCTAGCGGTCAAACCGGTCAAACATTATATCTGCGACCAACCCATATTGGGACAACGGCTGCTCTTGGATTACAGAAGCCTCGACAATCTTTGTTATACGTCATTGCGACATTGCTGCCAGGCTTCTCTACTAAAGGAAATGGTATGAAATTACTAACTTCACCAACCGAAGTTGTTCGCGCTTGGCCAGGGGGATTCGGGAATCGAAAGCTTGGAGGCAATTATGGGCCAACTCTTCCTGCACATGAAGCGACCCTTCAGGCAGGTTTTGATCAAGTGCTCTGGCTCTTTGGACCTGAGGGATTCGTTACCGAAGCAGGAGCGAGTAACTTTTTTGTCGTATGGAAGACGAAAACAGGTGACATTGAGCTTGTCACCGCAGGCCTAGATAATGGCACAATATTGGAAGGCATTACACGGTACAGTGTTTTGGACTTGGCACGGTCCAAAAGCTGCCAAATGTCAGCTTGGCAATACCATGAACATATCCTTCCTCCGTTGACGGCTGTCGAAAGAGATTTCTCTATAAATGAGATTCAAGATGCCGCGGTAGAAGGTCGACTTATTGAAGCTTTTGCAGCAGGAACTGCGGTAAGTGTGCATTAATCAGAGAAGAAGAGAACTAACAGATTGCGTGAAGTATTTTATCACATCTGTCGAAGTTATCCACCACCAAGGAAAAGATATACAAATACCTCTTCCAGCTGCCGGATCTGCATCATACGCTTTGTTGATTAAAGAATGGTTGTCAGATATTGTATTCGGTGTACAGGGCTCTCACGAATGGACTACAGAGATTTAGTCGTATTTTATATTACATACAGAGTTATATATATTATATATAGACAACAAGGCAATTGCGCAATTCTCTTTTAAAGTGCTTGGATAACCTTTTATTTATTTGTTCTTTTATGAAATGAGAGTAATTAGCCTCTACTACACGGTTATTTTAGGGTTTGTAGTCTGATTCGCTGCCACTTCGCTCAGTAGCAGCTTGTTGCTGCATCCGTGCTGCCAAACTTGCTGCTTCTTGAGCGTACTTGCATTTCAACCTCAATGTCTCGCCAAATTTAAGCATAACAAATGGAAAAGGCAAGCATGCAAACATCAAAAAAGCAGGTATTGTGCTTGCCCAATGTATGCCAATATTCTTATACATCTGCTCTGTAAAAAGTGGGAATGCCATGCCAAAGAATGCCCTAAGCATTGCCGATGCCCCAAGTACCGACGCTGCGTATATAGTGTACGAGTCAATCAAGTAGTTGAGACAGGAAAGAAAGACCAGGACACAGCCGAAACCAAACGGGGCGGAAAGGATAATACTAGCGGCCCAGTGTATGTTGGGCGAATTAGTCCACGCAAAGGCAAACAAGCCGACGGGTAAAGCAACAGCGCCGACTGCTCCTGGGGGCAACCTGGACTCAGGTGTCGCCGATTTGCCAAGTTTTTTATATCGGTTGTCGTCGATGATGGCATAAACAAGTCCAATTAACATACCGCAAACCAGGCCCAAAAACGCCAAACCCCCGAAGCCTTCGTTCCAACCTCGGCCCCGCTGGTAGACAATTGGCAGTGCAGGCATGAACATATAGACGGTACCGTACAATATCGCTAAGTAGGTGGCTGCAATTAGAACAATTGGCTCGCGGAAAAGAAGGACCCAGGGCCTCATAAGGGCTTTGCGAAAGACTTCAGAAGATGCCGCTGTACCATGGTGATGCTGCATGACGCTTTTGTATGACTTCCCTGTTTTCTTCGAAAGCTGTGATGCTCTTTCACGTAGTATCGCTGGCCCGTAGGTTTCGGGTACAAGAATCGAACCAGCAATCCAGACGACACCAATGAAGATGCTGCACACGCCTTGTACCCATCTCCAGCCAACGTTCATGGAAACAAAACCACCCATAATAGGACCAAGAACAGGTCCCATAAATGGCGCTGTGCAGAAAAAGATCATTGCCAGCCCCCGTTGTGCCGCCGGAAACATGTCAGCAATGACTCCTCCAGAGTTTGTTAAAGGCGATGCACCAAACATCCCAGTAAGAAACCTAAAGACTAGGAGCTGCGTTATGGAGCTTGCTCCGGCTGAGGCGGCCACGAACGCTACCATGCCGGTATGCGTTGTGATGAACAGGATTTTCCTGCCATACAACTCCGAAAGCGGCGCCCACAGCGCGGGCCCGATGGCAAAACCGAGTACGTAGAGAGATATTCCGAGTGCAAAAAGCTCTGAACTGCAGTGAAATTGTGCCAAGATTTCGTTCGCCGAACCCGAATAAGCGGAAGACGTGAGGGTAACGGCGAAGACTGAGACCGTCACAATAAATATGATGAACCATTTCTTGGTGGAGGAAAAGTTCATGGGATTTCCTGGATCATCACTACAGAACTCAACAATAAAAGGATCGGAAGATGTGCCCGTTCCATCGTAGGCGTTTGTTGTTGTGGAATCTTCTTCGCTTGCTTGTTCAAGGCGTAAGATTGTCATAGTTTCTTTGGCCAGGTTTTCGTATGGAGAACTGTGACTGGATTCTAAGATGAAACTATGCATATGAAAATGATCTCGGGATATATAATAAATCCTTTACATAGAGCTCTGAAGAACCCTGCGGCTGCGGTACCTCAATTTAATATCGCTCTGTGTGTTCGGAACCGTTCCGAGCACTTTAAGGTGGATTATCGGAAGTGCCTTTAATTGGCCATTCTCCGGATGCCTTGTTCTTACCTAGAATAGCAAAGTCTTTAGGCTTATACTTCGCTGACGCGGTTTGAAGTAAGAATTAACGATTTGTAATCTCTTTTGTCATGCAGAGATATTGTTAACTCATAAAGTGCATAACTATGCTATAATCTATGCTTATAAGGCTATGGTTGATTGCAGTTGTCGGAGAAACAAGATTCCATCTTACTGAAACGGCGACCTTGGTCAATTGACATTTGCAAAACGCCCAGCCATTACCAATGTTGGAAAGTTACCAAGTTATAATTCCATGTGCACTCAATAGATTTAAATGATATTTGTTTTGACAGGAAATACTTTTAGCTACTTGTGAATGAGTTCGGCCAAGGTTCATCAGGATCATCAAAGAGAAAGCTATCGTTGTGAAAACCAAACTCTAAAAATGTATCATGAAATTGTGCATCTGATAAATCTTCCAACAAATCAGTAGCTTCTAGCGGATGGCGCATCTGCGAGGCTTTTCTAGACAAAGATTGGAACAGTGACGCACAATGCGGTATATAAGAACTGAGATGCTCATGTCTCTTGATAACTGAGAGAGTCTGTTGCCAGCTGTCTGATACCGCCTCCGTGAAAAGATTATTGGATTGCATCGCTGCGAGAAGTATAGTTCCTGCCACATGGAGGTAGAAAGTACGATACCACCAAGGCAGAATGTGGATAGATTCATTGACATTGGAATTCTTGTCGAGCAATGATATCATCTTTTGAGCATTCCAAATGCATTGAAAGGCGCCATACTGTATCATGTGGCCCTTATAGGATGAATCAAAATGAGCATCAGCAGTGACAAGCGCATTATTCTGCATGAAGCAGCAGCGGGCGACCATCGGTCTGAATAACAAGATTCGAGCATGTAATAACCTAGAGGTTTCAAGAGTATGAGCTATGGGAAAATGGCCTTGCAGCAGAAGGTGTCCATATAAAACTCACCGAAATTGGAGACTAAGCTTCTGCATCTTCGCATCATCATTACCGCCGTCTTTGTCTGGTATCTCTTTGAGCCTCACTTTTTCCCATTGGTTCAGGCAAGCCTCATGTTGCAGAACCAAGTTACAATAGGTCTCTTTCCTGTAATTTGACCCGTGCAGGCCAAATCTCTCAGCCAGACCACCACCAACAGAGGTTTGTGCCATAATACTGTGACGAATAATCTCATAAAGCTCTAGCGTTTCGATCAAGCCATCTCGAAAATGAGAGCTCCTGCTTGTGGAATATTGGCTTACTAGCGACGTCATCGCCGTACGACCTTGAACCCACGAGACAGACCTGGAACTCCTGGATCAGAGACAAGCAATATTGGATTGAACAAAATGGATTTGACTTACATGTCAGCAAATACACAGCAGTTCCATAGATGGTGCCGCCAATGAGCCTGGTCGCTCGACATACCAGTCTCCGGAGTTTTGGGGAGGTGAATTCCAAGACTCTGCGCCATTCGTATCGCTGATCCCACTGCCATCCATGATTGATGAGAGTTGTTCGTGCACTGGAGGTATCGACTCATTAGTAAAAGGCATTCCACAACCTCTAGCGATGGTGGTTCCCATAAAATGGTTTCAGGACGTAGTAAATTCCAGGCTCTCTGAAAATAAGTGTTCGCTACCTCGTTCCTTTCTGCGACTCCAACAGACTCCTGAACTTGGGTAGCAAAAGCGAAGACGATATTTAGTGTGGCAATAAAAACTCGTTCCTCTATTTCGAGATGCATTCCCGCAAACAGCAGTTCATACAACTGACCGAATCGCTTCTCATCGAGGAAGTAGTCGACAGGATGTACACACCGCCAGAATGTATTTAGTAGCTGGTCTGCCTGTCGACGTGGTGGCAGAACCTTGTCTCCGTGCTCATCGCCTGGTCGTCGACTGGACAATCGCAGCTCGAATAGCGGAGCATCTGACATCGGCATCGTAATTGATGATCCACTAGAAACTCCGCCAAATTTGGCATCAATAGCAGCTTTAACCTCCCCAGCAAACGTGCCAGGACTACCACTGTATCCGATTCCAGGAATTGGCTGCATAGTGTCTTGGGGAAGGCCACCAGCGACAGGCTTATAGATGCAATCATGCCGTTTTTTCTTGCAGTTGCTACAGGCTAAGCCAAGGTTGGCATCTGGACAACCGACTGAGCAGACTTCAGGGAGGCATACCTGGGCGCATGCCGTCGCATTTCACCTTTCTGAATCGACATAGCTCACATGCATTGCCATTCCCGATCTTAAGCTTTTTCTTGAACCGCGCGTCTGGACCTGGAGATTCCGAATATGGGTCCATGGAAATTGAATGTTCCTACGCAGAGGCTGATGGTGGGCAATCAAATGACAGAGCTATGTCGTATAACTGGGGCCAAATGAATTTATTTGGCTATTAGAGGTGGATTGTCCGTATCTTGTGATGAGGGAGGTAGAAGAAAGGGAGCATAACAAAGCGAGATGATTATATTAGTATACAGGATTGCTTGACAGCATGGTTCTGTGGTGGCGACATGAAGGTCTTGACCAATTACATGTTGTTCCGACAGAACCGCTCCTCCCGACACATAGATCGGAACATGTTCCGACAATCAGCAATAGCTAATTTGGATTAGCTGAGGAGAATCTAAGCACATTGACTAATATGTCGAGTGTTGATTACAATTACTTGCATTAAAATTGATCCAAGATTTCATACAGCATTAAATATTCTATTTATTCTAGTCAAAAAATATACATCCATTATTCAAAAGTCGATTAAAGCAATGCCTCAAGAAAATCTCAGAAATCCCTTTTCGTTATGATACTCATGTTGTTATAGTAGATCACCATATCTTTGAATGGCAATTCCGGCTACTCAAACAAGCAGCTGAGAGATTATCTGTACTCAGCTATTCTAGCTTTGCGCAAACTTTGATCTTGCTCTCAGCCTCTTCCCGAATATATAAATGGCCGTTGTACCGAAGATGCCCATCACGCTCAATCCAGCGAGAACTGTCATACCTTTGTCAACACCCAAGTTGATAAATAGTGGCCTTGCAAAGACAACAGCGCCACCAGCAATACCAGATCTCCAAATACTGTTGCTAGCGAACAGAGAAGCGGCATACTTGGGATAAGACAGCGGGATGTAGATAAATAGAGATTGCATTGTCCAGAAGTGTCCAAAACAAAAGATGGCCACTCCGATAAGTGGCACCACCCAAGGAATATTTGGATTAGCTGTCCATGCGAAGATGAAGAGACCGATCGGCATTAAAAATGAGCCAATGATAGCAGGAACCAGTCGGTGCTCTTGCTCCCGGAAGCCACGCTTGATGTTATCGGGAATCATATAGAATTGGAGATAGGCAAAATATGCGGAAAGACCAATAATGACTCCAACAAGGCAAGACAAGAACGTAAGACCAGTCTGTCCAAGGTTGAAGCCATACATTACTGGAAAGACGAGAGGAAAGACCTCAAAAAACGTATAGAATACACCGTAGAAATACCCAGTATATAGGTTAACGAAGAAGATGGACGGGTCTTTCATCATAATCTCCATTGGCTTGACCAATGCATCGAAGAGGATAGCGGTTGTGCTCATATGGTGCTGGTCAATCTCGCTTTGCGACTGAAGCCTTGCATCGCTGGTCAGTTTGCGTAATCGACGTGCACGCCTCAATAGGATAGTAGGTGCAGAGGTCTCAGGCATGAAGAGTAGTAGGAAAACCAGCGAAAGGGAAGACATCCACACAATTTCCCACATAGGCCATCTCCACCCTTTGGCTTGCGCAGCGAAACCTCCTATCACTGGTCCAATTGCAGGGCCAGCCCAAGCAGAGAATACCCACCAAGAAAGGCCAAAAGGGATGTACGTGAGAGAAAACATGTCTCCGACTGTAGCACCACCATTGGCCAGAGCTGGACTACCGAAAAAACCAAGCCAAAATCGCAGTGCTAATAGTCCACCAAAGTTATCGACAACAGCTTCAGGGAATGATAAAACCCAGTACACAATGTATGTCAGGTAGTAAATATGATTCCGCCCGATGCTTGGGATTTCAGATAAAGGCGAAAAGAGGAGATCACCAATGCCATATGCGAGGACGTAGAGCCCAAGGCCAAGAGTGGAAGCGACAGGACTGATGTGAAATTTACGTTGAATTCCCTCTTCAGCGGTAGCATAAATGGGTCCGGCACAGTAGATTGTCCATGTGTAAAAGCAAAGGACGAACAGAACGAAGTATCTCTTGAGTCGAGACCAATTTTGAGGATTCGCTCGATCATCTGTGGTATACCAATCAACAAGAACAACGCCGTCTGCAGTTTTTTGAGGACTGATCACAATAGACTTCGTACCTTGCAATTCAAGTTCCCTTTCAGCCTGTAGTCGCTCGTTGCTGTACGGGGCGGTATAAACACTGGCGATCGCTCTTGTCCTTCCGAGATACTCTATATCATCACCCTCATGGCCAAAGGATTCAGAACTTTCATAATTTGCCCCTCCACCGGATTCAGATACTGCTCCATCCAAATTGCGAGGCTGGTGATGTTTATTGGGTTTCTCGTCTGATTTCAGCTGGGCGATGTACTCATCGGGTAGCTTAAAACCCTCTTCCTCTTCTGGATACTTGAGAATTCTGTTTCTTGTAATTAGGCGAATTGCCTGGCCTATAGGTGCTTCCCTGATAAGGTCCAGCATCTTTGTTGCCAGATCGGGGGTGCTGTGTGACAACATCGATTGGTTATAAAGGTGACTGAGATCGTGTAGCTGCTGGCAAGCCAGGCAGAAGAACCAAAACAAATTAAAAGGCGGGTGTGTATAATCGTTGTATGGTATTTATGTTTCAAGTCTGTTTTACTTTCTGTGCTTTATTTAAGAGCTTACTGATTGAATTGAGCTTTGCTTGGCATCGAATGAAGTGGACTGGAGAGTCTCAGGAATAAATAGCTCGATGCTTACTGTGGCGGAAGATATAACTATTCTCGTATATAGAGAATGGACACTGCAAAGACTCTTACAAAGGAATATTACTGTGCATTTATTATCAAGCTCTATTCTTCGACTTTCCGTATTTACTTTTCACTAATTATAAAGCAGCATACTAACTCAGAAAAGTAATTTGCTGATGTTTTGTTGTGCTGGTTCCGGCGGAGCTCAGCTCATGAACCAATCGCAAATGGTCCCTGAAACTTTATTCCGGACGCCACCGCGCTATTCGCCCAGTCATTTGCTATGATATCAGCCCAGCTTTGCGACTCTTGGCTGAGAAATTCATTTGGGCCGCAGGACTTGAAACATGACTGAGGCAGAGACCATACCCGAGTTTGAAAGCAACGGTCAAGATTTTCCCTTATTCAGCATATTCCATTTGAAGTTAGCGAGATTCTAACGCCAAATGTCGTCGCCCTACTTTGCCTATAATGGATCCTTACAGAGCATATTATTCCATTTAGAGTTGGTGAGGTTTAGCATCCAAACAGTCGCCTTTCTTTGCCAATAGCAGTTATACGATCCGCATTTTGTATTATTACCAACATTTCCTTGTGCTTTATTGTATCCCTTTGGAACGACGCCTTACTGCCGGCACAGCCGGATGTTATCTAAAACGACGGCTTCCGATATTGTGGTAGAATGTGATGCTATCAGAGCAGGTACGTAGTATATTGCCTATCGTACTGTACGGAGTATGATTTAAGCTTATATAGATATTTAATAGTTGTGGACCAATTTTTGATGGTTCCTATCTCCAATTGAGAGTGACACCTTTTATATTATCTAGTTTGCGTATTAGGAATAGCGGCTCCTAGGAGAGTGAAAGAGTTAAGAATAAATACAGTATAGTCTTTATTATAGACTTTATAGCTAAGGTTATATAAAAGACTGTATTTATCTTTAAACTTTTTAAAAATAAAAAAACTATAACTTCCTTTTATACTTTTATTTAATTTTATTAATTAATTAGTTTATTAATTATAAACTTAAATACTTTTATTAATATTTAATAAAGGAAAAAGTGATTTTTTTATAAATAGTTTTTAATAAGCTGTTTTTTTTTAAAAAGTATTATTTTTAATATATTTTATTTATTTATAGTTATAATTAAATATAGTAAAGTTTTTAAAATAACTTTTAAATAAAAAAAAATAATTATAAGTAAATAATAATAGTTTTATAAGTTTTTATAATAAAAAAATATATAGTTTAAATAAAATATAAAATAAAAGCTTTTTTAATAAATTTTAATTTTTAATTATTTTTATATTATTATTTTATTTTTTTAAAGTTTATAATTTAATTATTATTTTTTTTAAAATATTTTATTATATTATAATTATTTTTTATTATTAAGTTTTTTTATTAAAAAATATTTAATATATTACCTTTAAATTTAAATTAAAAAATCTTTAATTAACTTTTAAATAAACTTTTTTTATATAAATATTATATATTTTATTTTAATTTTTAAAAAATTAATAAAATAGTTAATTAATATTATAAAATTTAATATATATTTTTTTTTATTATTAATATATTTTTTATTAACTTTTTAATTAATAAATAATTTTAAATATTATTAATATATATTATATAATAATAATTATATTAAAATATTTATAAAATATTAAAATAATTATTTAACTTTAGTTTAAAAAATTACTTTTATATTTTTTAATTAATTAAAATTTCTTTATTTTTTAATTTAATAGTTTATATTTAATATTTTATAAAATTATATAAGAGTTTTTTAATTAATTTATAAAAAAGCTTATTAAAATATTTTATTAAAATTTACTATTATTATTATATAATAAATTAAATCTTTAATTATAGTTTTTTAATATTATTTAATTTAAATTTATAAAATTATAATATTTAAAGTTTAATTAAATATTATAAATTTATTATATAATTTATTATTTATATTAATTTTTATAATTTTAATAAATAATATTTTTTTTTATTTATTTTTTTTTATTAATTTTAAAATAATTATAGTTTATATTAATTATTATATTTAATATTATTTATATAAATAATAATACCTTTTATATATATTTAATTACTTAAAATATTATATTAATAATAATAAATACTTTTACTATTAATAATATTATTATAAATAATATTAATTTTATTATATAAAAGTTAACTATATATTACTATATACTTTTTTTTATATTATAATATTTTTAAATAGTTTTTTTATAAATAAATAAATATAAATATATAATTTTTTTTATTTTTTAATATTATTAAATATTAAATATATAATATATATTATATAAAGTATAATATTAAGTAAATAAATATTAAGGTTAAAAAGTAAAGTATAATAGTTTATTTTTTAACTTTTAGGTTTTCTTTTTTTAATAGTCTTTTATTTAAAGTATATATAATACTTTTTTTTTTTTATTTTTTTTTAAAAAAGGAAATAATATAAAAGTCTTTTATTATTTAATATATAATATTTACTATATATAATATATAGGTTATTAAAAAAGAAAAGTAATTATTTTAGGGATGTTTTTTATAAAGTTATTTAATTAAATAGTTTTATAAAAGGAATTTTCTTTTACTATTATATTTAATTTATTTAAGGTATTTATAAGACTTTAAAGCTATAGGGTAGCTAGTCTTATCACTAGTTTAATAATAAAAAGTCAAAAGTAGTTAAAAGTGGTTAATTTTACTTATTAAATTCATTAATTAATTAAAGTTACTAATATAGGAAATTTAAAAAAAACCTCTACTATTTATATTTTAAAAATTAATATTAATAGTTAAAATTAAAATATATAAAGACTACTATTAAATAGCTTTAAAATTAAATTATCTTTTAATATAGTTTATATATTTTAGTTCTTTTTATTAATTATATAATTATTAAATATTTATAAATTATTTTTAAAATCTATTTCTGGGCTTAGTAAAGGATTTAGCTTAGATTTAAATTTTATAATTTTTAAGTTTTTTATAAAGCTCCCCCCTTAGGATTTTAAAGACCTATTTATTTAAGTAATTTTATTAGTTTAAAACGCTTATATAAGTAGGATTTTAGCCCTTTAATTAGTTAGATTTTTTATAAAAGTAGGTCTTTTAAAATTAAATCTGATTTTTAAACTTTTAAAAAGCTATACTTTATAATACTTTAAAGTATTATAATTTTCTATAGCTTTATAAACTTATAGTATTTTATAATACTAAGCTTAATTAAGCAATAGCTATTAAAAAAGCTATAAACTAAACTTAATTAAATACTAATTTATAAACTATAGGGTAGATTAAAATATTAATATATAAATATAGCTTATTACTAAAGGTTATAGAGGTTATAGGGGATAATTAACTATAAATTACTATAGTTAATATTATAAATTAATTAAAAGGCTTTAAAAAGTATTAAAATAACTACTATAAGTTTTATTTTTTAACTATAATAATAATTATAGTTTAATATACTTTTTTTAAAGGTTATATATATATATAAAAGAAAAACTAAAAAAAATAATAATTAAAAAACCTTTATTATTATAAAATAAAAAATATTATTATTTTAAATAACCTAAAAATAGTTAATTTTTAAAATTATTAAATTTTATATTAAATAATAATTTTATAAAAA